AAATACATTAAAAAACATTTGGTACATTTCTAATATTAAATTATTTTATAAATATAATATTACCATCTTTGGGACATAATATTTGAATATATATTACCATCTAAAATTTCCACGTGCAAATTTACTAGTCCAATAAAAAATGTTAATCTTACTTTGAGAAATATCTCTTAATACAACAATACTGTATAATAAGGCCATAGGACATTAAACACCCCAAATTCTTCTGTGATGCCTTTTTCATTTTCATCGCATTTCTACCACCTTATCCATTGAATTAGATTGATTATTGAAAAAAAAAACCACCAAAGAAGAAAGCGAATAAAAAAATCCTGTCCGTATTTTATACTCATGGAGTCGTGATCATAGCAATCACTTGACTTTTGTGTATATCTTTACAAGGATCTAAACTCATCATCAATTTTCCCGAACCCTTGTGGCCCTAGAGGCCCAGAGGCAATGCTTCAAACATAAACCCTATTGACTTTACTTCTGAACGGTTATTTGGTATACAGATCGGCTAATCATGTGGCTTTCATTTATTAATTATTGAATCGATTATGGTGTTGGGTCTTGATGAGGGGTGATTTGGCTTGACCTAGTAAATGGTGGACACGTGGACATGACTTGGTGACTAGATGCATGACTCAGCATTCTCGTCCACCTTGACAGGTCGGGTCACCTCGGCTAGGACCAAAGCTCGGGCAACTCAGGATGACCAAACCTACCGAGGTAACACATAGTAGATTTCTAGAAGCCTGCCAGTTGTCTCCGAGCCCTTCGGGATCACGTTGCACGATCGTAGGCCTTATCCTTATCTCGCTTGGAACAGACGGACACGATAAACTTTATTTGATGGCACGATGTCCATCTCCTGATGCGGAATGGACCCCTAACCATGCGGGTCGAGATCTCGAAGGTGTTCAATGAGACCTACGTCAGCTTAATTATATAAGTTCCTACCCCCATAGCACAAGGTACGTGCGATTTATTGCTTCTAGCTCTCACTCTCAAGTTTTGAGCTCGTCCACAAATCAGTTACTAATTTAAGCATTAGAGCGACCACACCAGATTATCCACCTTGATTTCTCTATGCTTTCTTTTCTTGTAGGTTTACTTGCCAAGCAACTGACGTCCAATCTATCATCCAGGTAGGAATTCCAGATTGTGCACCTTCAGGTCTCACCATAGCAAATTACATGGTGCTAATGAGATCTGATCCAAAGATTTCTTCTTCACATACAATTTGAAAACATGTAGGAGTAAATTAATATGTCTATTATCCCTTCATACTGCTTTCCCTGCAATTTTCTCTTCCGGGTTTACATCCACAACATGCTCATAATTTGAGTAAGTGCAGCAAACTTGCTTTTGACAGAGTGGAAGATTTCCTAACCCATTAGCTGTACAAGTTCCTATAATAGAAAATTTTTGAACTCCTGGCAATTAGTAGGTTTTATCCCCTCTTGAAGATTGTTTCTTTTCGGCATCAATTTGTGATTTGGGCCCTGAATCAACATTTACAGCCAATACAAACATGAAGGTTGTACTTTTCTGAGGCTTATATATCATGAGTTGATAAATCCATTCCCGAGTTTTTTTCTTTGCTGTATCATTCATTTGACCATGTCCCACCTATGCAGAACACTAGTGCGCCTTTGCAGTCAAAGTACAAAGCATGCCTACGATAATTCATTAATATTGCTTTTTTTTTTCTTTTTCTTTATTGGTAATGTTAAAATCACAATGAGCATTGATGTTAATTAGTAGATTTTACTAGCTAGTGACTTCAGGCTAGTGGATTTTTAAAATGGAGCATTGTAGCAAAAAAATGATTAATTTTCTCAGTGAAAAAACCATGTATGAGAATAAATATTATGTAGGAAATTTCGTCCATTAAAAGCATATTTTCTCTTGCAAGATCTGGTCAACTCTAATAAACACAACTCTTGAAGAGTGAATATATCAAAGTCCTAAATCCTCCACTACTAAATAAAACACCTTATAATGTTCACAGTAGAAATAAAATAAAACGAAACAAGAACAAATTTCATAGTTCTTTCTACTTCAGAACTGATGCAGCATTTACAAATTTCACACAGATTTACATCACATCCTACACATGCCACTAAATCAAAGTAAAAACTAAAGGTACCTAACTGCATAACGATTAGTTAAAAGGAATTCTAGAATATCCAAATTAAGATGTGGTCTGAAACTTGTTTTGGATGTAGAATTTTAGCAAATACCTAATAGACACCACTGAACGTCAATTGCTAGATTCCACACCGCTGAGCATTGTGTTGTTGGCTTGTATTGTTCAGTGGAGAGTTGAGACAAATCCAAATTGATTAAAGACAATGAGAGAGAGAATACCTAACACCAGCATTGTTGTCAGGTGAGTTATATGTGAGAGCTCGAATGCGAGAGCGAATAAGCATGAGAGAAATAGGGTGGGAAGAGAGTGAGAAGAGGGAAGAGGAGGGAAACAACCTAATTCCTACTTTGCTTTTGGTACTGCCACTATAGAGTATTATTTTTGGCGGCAATTGCCATTTAGCCCCCTTTCAATTTTCCTATATAACAATTATGTAGTTTTATATAATACTATATCAACCAAAGGGATATAAGAGAACAACTTGGTGACACATGAAATAACTATTCTTTTGACATACTCATTGTCTAGCAATATCAACCTCTATACCGCTTTTCCAAAGGCTCATAAGACCACTGGCTAAACCTCCACGAAACAACCACTTGAAGTACTTTAGAATAGATCTAGATTTGAAATGAGTAACCTTATCCTAAAAAATCTTTATCGAGCAATGAAATTGAGGGGGTCAAAGAAGATTTTGGGTTTTTTTTTTTTTTATATCAGCAAATAAGACTTTTATTAAGATCAGAAATATATTGAATTACAAGAGTTTGGTTTCAACACTACAATGACCCAAGCTACAAATACATGCAAACAGTTACAGTTCTGCCAAGAACAAGGTAGATCTATTTGCCCCCTGTTTTGCTAGGGTATCCGCCAAACCATTTGCAGTCATTTTTACCCAACCAAATTGAGAGTTGAACCTCCTTGCAAGTATGTCAATTTCCCTATAGATAAATTTGAACTTCCAAGGTGCTGATGTGATTTGTTTAGCTCAAGAAATGATCAGTAGTGAGTCACCTTCAATTTCTAAATATGTTGCTCCAATCTGCTCAGGAAGCTTTAATCCTTGTGAGAGAGCTAGATATTTCATCTGAATTGAATCACCAATACCTATTGGCCCTGAAAAAAGTGCCACAACTTCTCCTTGATGATTTCTAAGCACACCCCCTATACCGACCTTTCCTGGGTTGCCAAAAGAACTTACATCAAAGTTTAGTTTTAGTTTATTTAGTGCAAATGGCTTCCATTCCACTCTCACAAATTCTTTGGGTACATCTGTTTGTACCACTTCAATCTAGTTCCTTAGAATGTCATTCATGGAGAAGTTTTTGAATAGTGCATGATCATCATCCAATGTGCAATTTTGATTTTTATGGTTTCAATGACTTCCTCCTTTGATTTGCTTTTTTCAAAGAAAATTATTTGGTTTCTTTCCTCCCATATAGTCCATACTATAGCAGTTCTTGCTGCCTTCAATAAACACTTTCCTCTTTTCATCTATTACCTCAAGAAAGAGAGGTTGAATAGACTTACTACATCCTGTGGGAGAGTCCATTTACATCCAAAGAGAGAACAAACAATTTCCCAAATACAAGAAACAAAGGAGCAAGATAAGAGTAAATGGGATAAGGTTTCACCACAAACCTTACAAAGGACACACACATGAGGAGAGAGGCATTTGTTTGGCCTTATTTTCTGTAGCACATCATAGGTGTTTACCTTCCCTAGGAATACTTTACAACAGAAGGCTTACACTTTAGGAGGGATCAATTTACACCAGATTTCTCTCATCAGGAAATTCACCCCCAAAAATTCAGAATGAGTGAGTAGATTGAAGAAAGAGGCACAAGAGAATAAGCCTCAGGGGTTAGGGACCAGATTCTACTATCAATTGTATTTTGGTCTAAGTGGACCATCTCTAAGGTTGAGATCAAGAGCAATAAGGAAGGACATTCATATTACCTCAGATCCTTCTGAAGGCAATGTCCTAAGAGAGACCCAAATCTGAAAGCACGCCAACCTTAGCAACAGGTTTGTTTTGAAGGTTTGACAAGGAGTAGAGGTCAAGAAATTTAATACTAAAGGGGCAAATCCCCTACCCACAAGTCTTCCCATAATAACACTTCATTACTACACCCAATATTAAAGCGTATAAAGTGAAGGTTGGTAGTACCTCAAAGATTGCCTTTTAGGGAGAGTTTGGAAGCTAGTTTTGCATCCCATTCATTTTCTGCTTCACTATGAATGCTTTTAATGACGATGTGCCATAACCTATATTTTTTACAAGGGAATCTCCATAACCATTTCCCTAAGAGGGTTGTATTTTTATTTAAGATATTCCCTATACCTATGCCACCTTTTCCTTAGGTTTGTGGACTTATTCCCACTTCACTAAATGATCCCTCTTTTTATCAATGGGTTCCCACAAAAATCCGTTATCATTTTCAACTTCCTGGCTATTTTCATCGGAATCTTAAAGGTGAGGAGAAAATAAGTGGACAAATTTGTTAGGGTGGATTTTATCAAGGTTATTCCTCCCCCGAAGGAAACAAAACCTCTCTTCCATATTGCCAACTTCTTAATGAATCTCTTTAAACCTAGTTCCGAAAAGCTTTCAGCTTTCGGATTTTCCCCCTAAGAGCATAATTACGTATTCTAAAGACCAACTTTTTACTTCACAGCCTAGTAAATCTACCATTGGCCAGATTTTTGGGTAGAGCAAATACAGACTTCTTATACTGTCCTTACCAAATGAAATGCAGACTTCTAGATATACTGTGGTGCATCATTTGTAGGTAACATACCTTTTCTACCAACGAAGATGGTCCAATTTTACTCAAACCTTAAAAAAAAAAAAATCTTACTCAAATCAAACCTAACAAGCTACAGGCTAGTGCAGTTTTCCTGTTGTCAAAAAGCAATAAAAAATGACATCCAAACCACAAACCACAATTACCATGAGATTAACATAGACATCGATCTTTTGATCTCTTGGGAAAGAAACACATTTACAGACCCAAATGAAGATTTGGAGGGAGTGATAGAGAGAATGAGAGATTTCAGATCAGATCGCTAGTTTACTTTTTGAACGGAAAAACCATCCTTCAGTCTCTTGCAATCAACCAAATAAGCAAACCCATAAGCCATATTCTTCAAAGTCGCTTCATGCAGCTCTCTCGTCGAAGTGGCTGTCGCGTCTGACGAGAAGAAAACCCTAAACCCTCTTACAAACGCCTCTCTCGCTGTCGTCTCACAACACAAATTCGTCATAACCCCTGTGATTATGACCTCCTTAATCCCCCTGTCCACCAAATACTCCTCTAACCCCGTCCCTCGAAACGCACTGTAAGTGTTCTTCTCCACCACCTTGTCGCCGCCTTTCCGTCCCAACTCCGGCATCAGCTCCGCCTCCATCGTCCCGTCAATGATCAGGTCGTTGTTCCACCACTCCCCCAGCATGCCGTAGTCTGACGGTGACTTGTGGCAGTGGCGGGTGAAGATTACTGGAACCGAAACACTTCGACAGAGACCGATAGTCGTGTTGATGTTGGGTAAAATCGGCTTCCCCATCGATGAGAAGTAGTTCTGCATGTCGATTACCAAGAGAACGGCGGTTTTCGGATCTGGGTTTCTCTTCCTCGTCTCGAATTTCTTGTAATCCCCCATTTTCCGAGACAAACACAGTTCATACAACAACGAGCTCTCTTGTTCGGCTTTCTTTTTCTACCTTCTAATTTTCTTCCGACTTCTATACGAGTGGGAAAAACTGAAATTACATATGTAGCCTTGTATTTGTGACAAATTATCGAAACATGTCTATAAGAAGATGGAACCATTAGATTGGAATCATAATAAATCATCCGTAGAATGTCAAAATGTTCTAGAACAGGGTAGAGGGCTCTGTGATTCTCTTCCATCCAATTAAACTGAAAAGTGAAGAGCGAGCAGACCAGTTGGAGCAATTTGGGGAATCTCTTTCTTTCTCTCATTCTTGAGTTCCTGGTTTTCTGTTTCAGTCATTTCTCAAGACATTTGTGGGTTCTGTTGCTTGAAGTGTTAGGGTTTAGAATTCGAAAAAGAAAGAGGGAAAGAGGTAGCGGAAAGAATGTCTTACCTTCTTCCTCACTTGCACTCCGGCTGGGCCGTTGATCAGGCCATCCTTGCTGAGGAAGAAAGGCTCGTCGTCATCCGATTCGGCCATGACTGGGATGAAACCTGCATGCAGGTACTCATTTATATCTATCTGCTGATCTCTTATTATTGCTTCCTTCGTTTTATTTTTTCTTGAATTTGTCTTTCGTAGTTGCGTAGGTTCTATTCGAATTCATCATGGATCATGGAATTTGTTGTAGCAAGATGCTAGCTTGCTCTAATAGAAATCTGTTTGGGAGAACTAATACCTTGAAGGCTTGGACTTCTGTTCTTTCTATGCCCCTCTTAATTCAATTAGGGTTTTGTTATTCCTTAGGGCATTTCTCTTCGATTTCTATCTTGAAGCAAATAATGTTTAAATTGCTGGGGCAGCCAACGAATTAAAACCACTTTATTGTTTTTTTATCATTTTGGCAATAACCTGCCTATTTGTGGTTACTTCCTAACGTATCGTAGTTCGATTAAGAATGTTGTTCTACTGGTGTGCCTGAGGAAACTTAGGCAATGTTTGTTGTGCTTTCTACTCATGCTTTTGGGAGTATGGTTCAATTATATATATATGAGAGTCGTCAAGGTATCCTTTCTTTTTCTGATCTAGAACCCATTTTCAGATGTTAGTCTTCAGAAAAACTGAAAAAGGTAAGCTTTGTCGCAAGGAAAAAGCACTTACGGCTCAAGTCAAGTATTTCCTGAGTCTATAGGGCGCATGTATGTGAGCCTAATTGGATTCTATAGGTCAGACCGTCAGAGAGCACTCTTGAAACTAATATTAAACTGAATTGAATAATGACAACTAAAAATAGGAAACAAAAAAGAGAAAAAAAAGGAAAGAACTCATAGTTCAGGTTGCCTATTTAAGTTATATTTTCCTAGGTCCTTGACACCTTGTACATGTTCCAGGGTACAATATATGCAATCAGGCAAAATTAGTCTTGAAAAAAATCATGTTGGAGCATATGGAATCTCTATGGGGTTGTGCCGTTGTGAGATGTCACAACCTTGTCCTTATCTTTTACCCCCCCCTATTATGCAGAGATGTTTCTGCTTAAATAGTAGAAATTTTGGAGGGACAGAAAATAATAAGGGTCCATTTGGTTTACAGTCGGAATCGGAATAGCCTATTCCCATAGTCTGTTTGTTTCAGACATGAATGGGAATTTGGAATCAGCAGGAATGAGATTTCATTCCCAAGGGAGGGGCAGGGAATGGCCATTCCCTCAAATGGGGGAATGCCATTCCAGCAGGAATGGGAATGGGATTCCGATTCTGCCCAACCAAACAGCTGGAATCAGAATGGGCTATTCCGATTCCGATTCTGGATCCCTATCTCCAGTCATGGTGCTGCTATTTAATGGAGGAGTGATAAGACATGCAGCATAGACATCACCTGAAAAAGGGAAAAAATTGAGTTTTGATGGGAGTTCACTTGTGAACCCTGGGCAGGTGGGATTGGAAGGAGATTTTAGAGACTATAATGGAACTATCCTGTTAAGCTACACAGACAAAGCAGAGATCTATTTATTACTCCTTAGGAGTGGAACTATTATCTCTTTAAAATGGATTGAGACTAACATCAGAACAGGAGTGGGAGGCCTAATTGTGGATGGCGATTGCCTGGTGGTAACAAGTTGGTTTCAATCAAAGGCTTGAAGGCCCATGGAATGATGGAATCTTTGACATCAAATAAGAGAAGTTACGAAATTGGCAACCAATCTGAATTGCTTGTTCAGATCTATAATACCAAGGGAAGCCAACAGTGTGGCTGACAGCTGACTGCCTTACTAGAATGGGGTAAACAGGTGGGAATTGAAATGAGGCATTCTGGGTCCAGGGGCAGCATTTTTTATTGGGGCCAGTTGTCACTGTGTTGAGCTTGAATGTCCATCTCTTCTGTATGGAGTGTTGGCCATTATGTACCTCTGTTTCTGATATTTAACTATTAAAAAAGAACATAACGAGGATCAACCGACAACAAGCACCTCATCCTACTCAAAAACAATAACTATACCTCAGCTTACAACAATAATAAAGAGCCAAACCCCCAATAACCCACCAGGCGCTAGGATGGTGCACCATCAAATCTTATATTTTCTTCACTGCGACACTCCTGCCTCCTTTCTTTTTGCAGCATCCACCCTAGTGGCCTAGCCAACACCCTAGTGGTAGTGTTTACTGTTTAATGAATTAGTTATTTACAACAGGGTATTAGCACTTGCCATGTTGTAAATTATGGTTTTCATGTTGCTAATAAAAAAATGTATTATAGAAAAAAAAGGGTATTAGCACTTGCCCTTTCTTAGGCTAGTAGGCCACCTATCCAACTATTCTTTTTTATCACAACGTACCCTAGAACACCTTTGTCTATTTACCCTCTGCATTGTCATGGTGTGAGCTATACTATTAATCGATCTGTGGCCTATACTGGATAACTTTTGATACCTGTTTGATCTCCCTCATGATATTTTTATACTGTCAGCACATAGCGTATTCACTTGTCATCCAGCCCATAGGTTAACTTAGAGTTTGCTTTCACCAACAAATTCAAACAGAGTGCCCTTTCCATTTTAAGGCCCTGAAGTTGGCCAGAAATTGTACCTGTTCTTATTGAGGTTCTGACTCCAAGTGGTCTCAAAAAGGCTGCAAGAAAGTTTCCATTTCCATCTCTCAACCAACAAAATTTTGCTTAAACTGATAGGTCATTGACACTCCAATAACCAAGATATATTAACTGTTCTTATTAAGGTAGAAGAGAAAGTAAAAAAATGAGTTCATTTGGAAGCTATTTGATCGAAGGGAGATATGGGATCCATGGGTTCCTATGTTACATGATGGAATCCCAAAAGGAAAAAAAAAAAATAGTGTACAAGTAAACCAAGAATAAAAGTCAATGAGTTGAAGGAAGATAGAATGTGGGATGCAGAACAAATTGAAAGGTGGTTTGAAGGGGGAGAAAAGGAGGCAATTTCGAATGCTTTGCCAAGTCCCAAGTAGATTCGGGGGGGGGGGGGGGGGCGCAAGTGCTATGAAGGTGAAGTCAGCATATGAGAAACTAATAAATAGATCCAATATAAATGCAGGTGGCAACCTATGGAAGGAGACTTGGAAGCTGAAGATAAGCATGAGAATGCAACTTTTTTATGTGGAAGATATGTATGGGAGGCTTGCCAACAAAGGCAGAATTGTGGAAAAGAAAGGTGAGAAATGAGAAAGAACATGAATTGCGCAGTGGGGTCATTTGTTAATAGCAATGATGCAGCAACTGGTTATGTCATTTTCTTTCTGTGTAATATCATTTTTTTTTTGGGAAAAAAATACTACACATACTGAATGGTGGGCTATTCTCCAAGCATTAAGGCGAGCTCTTCATATTGGAAGCAGGGAACTTAAGAGTTTATATGGATGCTCAAAATGGCAACGGAGCGGGGACCATATTCCCATCCCTGACCCCAATCCCCGCTAGGGATTAAAATGACCCTCCATCTCTAATCCACGATGGAGACAGGTTCCTCAGAATTTTTAAATTGAAAATACTTTTGAAAGATATTTACTTAAAATAAGGGAATTTTTTTAAATTTTAAAAATGCTTTAAATATATTTTGATATAAATAATGTTTATATATGTACTTAATATATAATCAGGGTTGGGGCAGGGCGGAGAATTCACTCCCCATCCCTGGCCCCGTCACCAATCGGGTATCACTATCAATGCCTGCACTGTCCCTGCCAAGACAGTCTCCATCCCCGACCCCATTGGGTCAGGGAAGCCGGGTACCTGAAGGTGATGGGGAAAATTGCCGTCCCTAGCTCAACATATTGCAAATAGTTTCTTATAAAAAAAATATATTGCAAATAGCTTAACAAATATAAATAGTCGGTTAAACTGGGATGAACATGGTCTGTCTGATGAAGTCAAATATCTCAAGCAGTCTTTTGCTCTTTGTAAAGTAATATATATGTGAATATATTGCAGAGTTAAGAATCAAGTAGTTCATGGAATGGCTAATAGAGCTAGAACAGGAAAGGGAGATATGGAATTCAGAGCTGAACCTCCAGATTGGATGAGAATTCTTTTTGCAATCCAGGAGATACAATTTAACTTGGATATATATGAATGAATTTTCTTTGCTTCTTTGTGGTATACAAAAAAAAAAAAAAAAAACAGTCCTAGTGCAGACAGATTAAAAGATTTTCAAGCATTAATTATTCCCGTGTTAGCTTTAAAATTATGCTGTCATTGGCTAACGCATTTTTTTTTGTTGATCAATTTTCAACTTGACTGTGAGATTGCAGATGGATGAAGTGTTGGCTTCAGTTGCTGAGACGATAAAGAATTTTGCTGTGATCTACCTAGTAGACATCACAGAGGTTCCTGACTTTAACACCATGTATGAGCTGTATGATCCCTCAACAGTCATGTTTTTCTTCCGTAACAAGCACATCATGATTGATCTGGGCACGGGAAACAACAACAAAATCAACTGGGCTCTCAAGGACAAGCAGGAGTTCATCGACATTGTGGAGACCGTCTATCGTGGTGCCAGGAAGGGTCGGGGTCTGGTAATTGCTCCAAAAGACTATTCTACCAAGTATCGCTACTAGGTTCTGTATGCCTACACTGCTCCGTTTGTGCTTATCTTAATTGGAATTTTATCCTTTTAGTCCGGCACTGGATATAATTTATGTTCCCAACTTTGTTTTACTTGTGTGGATGAACCGGGGATCTCCAATTGTTTTTATAATGGCCGTCTATTGAAACACTCATATTATGCCAAAGTAAGCTATTGTGTTGTGCTCGATCCTAACACTTATTTTTTTCCTGCTGTGTTGGTTTTGGAAATTTTTCTTGATGCTTGGTAATTGGTATGATCACAAGGTTGAATACCGAAATAGTTGGAATCTATTACAAGTACAAACAGGATTCATTGGACAATGTATGAAATCCAACCATAAGCATACTAGAAATGTTCCGTACTATACCAGATTGGGTTTTGTTAGTCTAGGACGTTTTTACACATCTATAGTCGGTAGTAGGTGGGGTGGGGGAATCAAGAAAAATTCTTTTCCTTACAAGTTATAAAGATGGCTTACAAGTTAAAGTTTAGAAACACGAGTAATTCTAACAAATTGCAATACCACGAGTTTTCTCTTAAAATTTCCATGCAACCATAAATTGGAATAGCTTTTAATGGTTTCTGGACTTTTTTTATTAGGAAGATGATGATGATGTTAGTAAATAATATATTTTTAAATATTTTTACAATTTTCTTTTTTTTTGTATTTCTGTCTATAAATATCATTATTTTTATTACATTTATTTTTATTTTATATTATATACAATATTAGAAATTTGCTCAAATACTATTTACAAATTTGTTGTGTTTTTTATACTTTTGTGTTTTTTTAATCTATTTCTAATTTTTATTATTTAATAAAAAAGTTAAATTTAACTCATCACAAATCAAGAAAACAACTATATTTTTGGATTGGTTTTAAATTTGTATTTTATTTCTATCATCAATTAAGACAATTATTCTTTATCACACTTATTTTCTTTAATATGATTAATTAATATAGTGTCGAATGAAATAATGGGATTAATACCCTAAATATAAGACTTAATGAGGAGAAATGTAATAGTTCAAATTACATTTTTGTGACGTGAGAGACCAAATTAACAAATAAGAGTATTTTTGTCAAGAATAAGATTCAATGAATGTTAATGTGAATTAATACCTTAAATATAAGATTTAATGAGGGATTTGAATGCGGAGAAAAATGTTTATTCAAATTACATTTTTCACCTTACAATTACAGCGGAATCAAATTCAAAAATTAGGACATTTTAATTAAACAAAAGTTCTATGCTATCATCCACACATTTAATAGTAGTATAGTTTAAAATACCTCTTTTTCAAATTGGTCCATTTTTACTAAGATGGCAAATTTCTAATTTGAATACTATTCACTTCATTCTATTGGCTCTCTTTAGGTCCCATGTTGAAAGCATTAACTCTCTCATTCTCTATTAAATCTCATGTTTAAGGCATCTCTATTGCTCAACATTGAATTCCACTAGTTAAATTCATGAACCAAAATTTAAAACATATTTTATAAAACTAACCTGGAAATGGAATTGTTTTTTTTTTTTTGAGGTGGTGGGTTAACAGTCCAACCTTTTGGGTCAAACAAGTGAATCCGCAATGACATTATTAAATACTAAAATTTTAAAATAGATAAAAAACATAAAAAGAGAAAATTTATAAAAAATTTTGGACACATCTATAATATTATATATTTATCGTATTAAGCAAAAATAAGTATAATTAATAAGAAATATTTTTACTAATGATTAAAATGGAATACAAAATTTAAAATTGATTTGGATCCACCCATGATGTTATAGCTAGTTAATAAAATTTTTAGAAATAGAAAACATACAAAGAATTATTGAAATACAAAAATAGAAAAGCTTAGAAATATTTCCAATATTATATATTTATCATATTAAACAAAAATGATTGTAAATAATAAGATATGTGGATTAATGATAGAAATGGGATACAAAATTCAAATTGAGCCAAAAGCAATATTGTTTTTGAATCCATGTGGTAGTTCAACCATCTAAGTCAAAGGGGTTACTCTATGATGTTATAATTAAATAACAAAAAATAAAAAAAAATAGATAGAAATACACTAATAAAAAAGAAATTTTGTAGAAAAATATAGCCACATTGCTAAAAAAATTTTGTAACTAGTGGCCCGACTATGCGGTCAGGTGGTCCAATGGTTTTTTGAAGGCAAGCAACTAAGGTTAAATGGACCCAAAATCTTGGTCTAGTGATAGGTCAACCAATTTGAATAATTGATTTGACTATGATAAAAAACATTGAAAAAAATGAATGTTCTAAAGATTGTTTGGAATCATAGTTCTTACTTGGTCGGATATTTCAAATTGTGATGGCCTAAATTAAATAATCAAATAAAAATATACAAAATATCATAAAATTTGTAGAAAACTAACATATCTTTAATATTATATATTAGTTATATTAAACAAAATGCTATTGATGATGGAAATAGCTAAAATGCAAAAAAAAAAAAAAGAAAACTAATGTCTTATGCATAACCCATTGACTCTTTTTTGGTAAACTTGCAATTCATTGAAACAGACATGCAAGAAACAAAAACCAAAAACAATGAACATCAACACTAACAAAGGACAACACAAAGAACTAAAAGATATAGAAAGAAGAAAAAGAAACAGAAGAAAAACTACATCTAAGAGGGGCAGAAGCCCAATCATCCACCAGAATTTCAGAGAACCACAAAGGGAAACAAACATCTATTTCCAAAGACAAACTGAGGCCACGCCTAGCCAATAGTGAGCAGCAGCATTTGCCTCACAAGGAGTCCAAGAGAAGAGAGTAGATCTACTGTTGCAAAGAGATTTAATATCTTTTAACAAAAACAAAATATCTTGATGATAGATATCCAAAGAAGAGTTTAAGCAGATCACTAGATGAAGATTATCCATCTCAACCAAAACATGCACTGGGTCTTTAGAAGACACCATTTTTAAAGCTTCAACTGCTTCAGCCATTATAGGTGAGGTCGCAAAAGTAAGGCCACAACTTGCTAAGATGTCATTCCTGTCACGCGCCAAAAAATAAAATGTAGCTTTATTTGGTACAACAAAACCACCATCTACATTGATGGTGAATAATCAACCTTGGAAGAGTTTGCCGATTTCTGAAGCGAGTCCAGAGATATCTCTACTGTCAATCTGTTAAAAGCATCAATAAGAAGAGTGGGATTAGAATCAATATCCTCAAAACAAAAAGAGTTTTATCCTTCCATATCATCCAAAGCAAGTTAGCTATTTTATAAGCTAAAGTGGAATCACAATAGCCATTAATACAAGTGGAACTGAAAAATTAATTGCCAAAGGAAGAGTTTTGATCCACATGTTTATTCTTAAACCAAGGCTAGAGCCAAACTAAATGCATCTAGCATTGCAACAGCACACTAGAGCATGGATTTTGATAAGAAAATTTAAGTTATTGTTGTAATCATTTGAAGTTGTAGGTCTCCCAAGGTGGGTTGGCGTTGAGTAAATGGGGTTTGGGGGTTTTTAAGTCATTTGATTTTTCTTTTCTTTTTTTTTTTGTTGAATGGATGAGATTCCCATTCCCGAGGGGAGAGGCCAAAATGATCATTCCCTTAAATGAGAGAATGGGAATCAGAATGCCATTTTGCCAAGAATGGGAATCTGAATCCCATTTTGCCCAACCAAACAGCTAGAAATAGAATAGGCCATTTTGATTTCAATTCTAGACCCCTATTTCCATGAACCAAGCAATCCCTTAGGGTCTGTATGGATATGCTAGTGAAGTTCAAATAAATCCCCCAAAAAAATATTTATTTTAGTGACATTAAATTGAAAATATGTGTGTGTGTGGTGTGTAAACAAAAGAAATATATATTTTTGATTATTTATGTGAAGCGCGAACTATTAGGAATAGGATACACTGGGAAAAAGGAAAGTGTTAAAAGAAGCACGAAGATGCATGTACCTTAATTCTTAGGGAACCATTGCTTTCTTATTAATATTTATAAATATAAAATTTAATTGTTATTTATTTTTATTTTTAATGGATAAGTACTATGAAAAGATAAATGTTTAAATGATAAAATTGAAAATAGATGCAATTATTACAATTAAGACTATATTTGGTTTCATGGGCGTTTATTGAAAAAAAAAATGTCGCCACACAGCACCACATGCGCATTGGTGTTATTGGGCATGAAACCATTATTTGGTTTCAATGTTTATCAAATATAGGGATGTTTACAGGTTGGGTAGGTTCGGTTTTACATGCTTTTGTCAACTGAATTGACCATTTCGAGTTGACTTATAAGCCAACCGGAATCATCGAAGTTAATAAAAACCAAGTAAAATTTAAATATGCTTAAGGTTGGTTTAATCAGTTTGAAACCGAATCGTCATTCTCGTCATTTTAAACCCAAGTTAAAAGGTTTTTCCAATTTTTGCATGTAGCAATTGTTTGCCTTTGTCAGGTTTTTTTACTTGTATATTATTACTTAACATCTTTTCTGGCATCGACAATAAATATATTGTCAATCCCCATTCTTGTAACTTCACTTATTTTATTAAGAATATAAATAAATGACACTTATTTTATTAAGAATACAAATGAATGGCAGGTTTGTTAGACAGTTTTGTATGCCCTTAGCTCCAACTAGTTTGATGTACTTTTGATATTTAATGAAAATAAATAAAGTACATGTTTGATTCATGTTGTGTGGTATGCTTCTGCGTAAGACCCTAAAACTGGACACTTAATGAGACTCGTGTTAGTTTTAAATATTCACAGCCATTGGATAAATCTGGGGAGATTTGTCTTGCCAAGGCTGACACTGGTGTGCTGCCAAATGTTCGGGTGGCTTGTCTCAGCCGCTAAGGTGAGACCCAAGGCACACGCAGTGTAGGATTACTTGAATCCTTGAACCGGACCATATTTCCAGTATTGCCCTGGACCTTGGAGATTGATGGGCAAAACTGGAAAGTTACATCTGACCCCTAGACTCGATTATGATACTGCACTAGGTGTCGGATTGGGCTGTCTTTGATATGCCAATCAGTGAGATCCTTAGCGGGGG